AGACCAGCCTGGTCTACAAGAGCTAGTTCCAGTTCCAGGACAGGCTCCAAAACCAGAGAAACCCTGTCTCGAAAAACCAAAAAAAAAAAAAAAAAAAGTAAGTCAACTACACACCCTTTACAATGGGTGAGAAGAAAACTGCCTGAGTCTTGTTTACCAAGAACTTTGTTAAGAGATGAAAGAGACAAAAAGAGGAGAGGAGAAACTAGGGCATAAAACCCCACAGTAAAGTTTGTGCCTGGTCATATGCAAGAGTTCTTATAACCCCCAAAGAAAAAGAACATTAGGTGGGTGGTGGTAGAGCCCACCTTTGGGAGGCAGAGGCAGGTGGATCTCTGAATTCAAAGACAACCTGGTCTACAGAGCAAGTTACTGAATAGAATACTCTGTTCCAAACATTTTGGAAGTGGGGATAATTCTTGCTTTTTACAGAGAACCACTAAGAGAATCAGGAATGTAAATCATTCAGGGTGACTCCTCAATGGAGAACATACAAACCAAATACCTGCTGCACCCAGAAAGCGGAGAGTGGAGGTTGTTAATGACCTGGTGACCTTTTTGCTACCTGTAGGGACAGACCTTACTCTAATTCCCCAGAATTCTAGACTCTTCTTTCCCTTGACCAATATCCATCCTTAGGTTAAAAAGAACTTTATGGCCTGCTGACCTCTATGCTATCAGTCAGAGACGACATTAGATTATAGGTGTTTCATTTAGCTATAGAACCCACCCTCATGTTTGCATGTACTTTGTAAAATAATTTCTATGTAGTCAAACTCTGTGCCTTATTGCACACATGGAATTGGACTGATTGTTGCCTGGAAACCTTTCCCCAAATTGTACTGTATTTTTTTGTTTTTTTAAAAATATTTATTTATATTTATTATGTATACAATGTTCTGTGTGTGTGTGTGTGTGTGTGTGTGTGTGTGTGTGTATGCCTGCAGGCCAGAAGAGGGCACCAGATGGTTGTGAGCCACCATGTGGTTGCTGGGAATTGAACTCAGGACCTTTGGAAGAAGAGGCAATGCTCTTAACCGCTGAGCCATCTCTCAGTAGTATTAGAGCCTGTCCTCGAACTCACTCTGTAGACCAGGCTGGCCTTGAACTCGGATCCACCCGCCTGCCTCAGCCTCCAGAGTGCTGAGATTAAAGGCATGCACCACCACTGCCCAGCTCCAAATTGTACTGTTTTAATGCTGACAATGAACCTCCTGGCATTCAACTTCTTGAAGTTGGATCCAGGTTGATGAAGTTAATCTGGACAAGGTTTTCATTATTACCTCATCACATGGTTCACTTCCCTGCCAGGATACCTGCAAGGACCTCCCTCAGAATCTAGAGTTGGCTTTTTCTTTCCTTCCTTCCAGTATGTATACATGTACTGTGCTTGTACATATGGAGGCCAGAACTTGGCAAAGGTTTCCTTCTTGACTCCTTTCCTCCAGACAGACCAAAGACAATCACTCTCTTGAACCCAGAACTCACTGGTCCTGCTAGTATAGCTAGTTTATTTCAGTGATTCTGTCTCTGCCTCTTGGAATTGCAGGTGTGCTGCCATGTCCATCTGGCATTTATACCAGTGCTGAGGTTTGATATGCGGTCCTCACAACTGCTTTATTTAGTGTAACACCTGCCCAAACTAATGCTTTATATATTCAAGTAAGCATTCTACAAACGCTCCCATCTGAAACATTGAGATGATTACAAATGACTCCCTGGAGCTGGTTCAATTCCCAGTACCTAAACGGAGGCACACAACTGTGTGTAATCCAGACCCATGGGGATCCAATGCCATCTTCTGGCCTCAGCAAACCCGCACATAGTATACACACATATATGCAGGCAAAATATGCATACACATAAATTCAAAACAAATAAAAGCACACAGACACAACTCCTTAAAGAGCCTAGAGTAGATGATGGAGAGATGACTCAGTGGTTAAGAGCACTGCTGTTCTTGCAGAGGACCTGGGTTCAGTTCCCAGAACCCATGTGGTGGCTCACAACTGTCTGGAACTGGAGCTCCAGGTGATGACACCCTCTTCTGGTCTCACCAGTACACGCAAGAGAAAACAAAAAACCCTGTGCTGGTTAGTCTGTGAATTGACACACACTTGAATCATCTAGGAAAAAAAATGTCAATTGAAGAATTACCTCCATCAGACTAGCCTGTAGGCAACTTTGAGTGTTTTCTTGCTTAATGATCTATGTAGGACCTAGCACACCATGAGCAGTACCTGGGCAGGTGGGCCTGAGTTATGTTAAGAAAACAAACCGAACAGACCAGGAAACAGTGCTCCTCCATGGCCTCTGCTTCAATTCTGGCTTCCAGGGGTCCATGATGGACTATAAACTGTTAAGGTGAAATGCCCCCACCCCCCAGCTGTTTTTGGTCATGTTTTTATCACAACAATAGAAAGCAAACTAAAACACCCATACATATAAACTAAAACACCCGTACATATAAATTTCTTTATAAAGTAAGGAGTAATTAGTAATGCACACAAATACTAGGCAGTATAGACTGCATGACAGACACAAAATAACTGGAATTTAACAGCTAGAGGATATACACTATATCTACACTAGAGAGTGTTAAATTAGTATCCAGAGGTCCTAGGTTCAATTCAGTAAGACAAAAAACTAATACTGGGCTGGGCTAGACTTAAATACCACAACATTATGAAGAATTGTTCCAACCTGAAGTGAAAAATACTCGATATTTAAGAAACTTAATGCCGAGCAGTGGTGGTGCACGCCTTTAATCCCAGCACTCGGGAGGCAGAGGGATCTCTTCAGTTTGAGGCCAGCCTGGTCTACAAGAGCTAGTTCCAGGACAGGCTCCAAAGATACGTGAGAAACCCCGTCTCGAAAAACAAACAAATAAACAAACTTAGGGGTGGCCTTAACTCCTGATCTCAGTGCTCCACCTCCTAAGGGCTGGGGTTCCAGTTGTGCGCCACCACAAGCTCTCTCAGAACCAATGGTTTAATGACCATGAGAACAGATAGAAATGACTCTACTAAGCTTGAGTTCCCAACTAATTCTGAACCTGGTTACATTTTAAAAAGTTCCAACTGCAAAATGTTCCAGGTGTCTGCGTGGACTGCACAGCACCCTTCAAATAAAGGTCTCCACTTTCACCTACATCCCTGCATAGGCAGCAGCCTCATTCTTAGTTTTTAGTAAAACACACAAAAACTTCCTGTTCCACAGAGAACAGAGATGTAGCTCAGAGGTACTGCCTGCTTACCATGCACAAGGTTCAACTCCTAGCAACCTCAAACACAGCTCTTCACTCCCAATTTCTATGAGCTGTTGACCTCAGTCTCACAGCCGGATTCTGTACACATCTTACAGAGTTACAAAAGAATGCCAAGTTCCCATCAATAACAGTCGACGTTCACCTTTATCTCTGTATCGCCACTCGCTTCCCTCTGCCAGCCAGTGCTGGTATTGACAGATGTTTCACTTAGCTAGAATATTTTGTGTATGCAACCTCACGCTAGGACTCAAGGATCAAAGTCCCTGCCAGTATGCACTCTGTCACTAAACATCACACCCCTTCAGCCCTCTTGAGGTGTTACCTCAACTCCTTATCTAAAGCTCAAACACCCGCCCCTTCAACCAAGGGATTTCTTGAAGGCAGGATTTACCTTGCTATATCACAAATGACTGAGAATTCAAATGTTTTGTGGAACGAACTGGACACAGAATACTTCTGAAATCTGTCAAGTTGTAACATTACGGTCGATGACAGTTACAAGATAGCAATTCGACTCAATGCTGAGGACGAAATCCTTTTCTCCAGCAGAGTAAATTACAAAATTATCTTCTTGTTTTCTACCCTTACTACTTATTGGTCGAGGAAAATAAACATCACTCAGAGGCTCTGATCACATGCCCCTTCTAGCGGCAGGAGAAAAAAAACGAAACATGGAAGACCAACTCAAGACCTGAAATACCAAAGAAGTAATATCCAAGAGATTGGTGTCACCTGGTAACATCTGGAAGCCACTGGGCAGTTAAACTGGGCCACTCCAGGGCATGGGTCATCACCAAATCATAAAGAAAAGGGGTGTTTTTCTTCCATATTTTGTACTCCTCGTTGATCACACGTTCTTCCACCGCGTCGTCAAAGGCAGCTAAAATATTTTTTAAAAAAACAAATGAGGTTAGCGGACAGAAACGGAAAGCGAGCAAACCTCTTCAAAGCCACTGGCGTGGCTCCCCGGTTCTGACACCGAAATAGAGATTCGTCTTAATTTCTCCCAGGGCGCAGGCACCAACGCAGCTCTCCGCCTCGGACGGCCGGAAGTCCTCGGGCCAGCCGAGCCAGGCACTCCGTTATTCGGCCGGCTTCGAGGCACCAAGTCCACCAAACCCAGAAGGAGGCCTGCGCAACGGGCCCCGGCAGGCAGAGGGATCGATGGAGAGTCGCCATCGCCCGGGCCCCGAGCTGGCGTCGTCTCGCATCCGCTCCGGAGGAGCCAGCACGCTGTTAGCCCGCCCCGCCGGAGAGACTAGGGCCTGCTCTCCGGATTAGGCCGCGTAACAAGCCACGACACAGCCCCGCCACCCCGCGCCTCCTTCCCGAGCCCGCCTCGGCACACTCACCTTCCTTGTCAGCCATGGCGGTAGGCGAGCCGGGAGGGGCTGGGGGGGGGATCCCAGGGTCGTGCGTTGCAGGATCGACGGGGAGGCGACGAGCGCTCGCTCTGCGCGCGCGGCCTCTATTGTTTCCTGCGGCCCGTGCGTGGGGGGCCGGCTCGCGGGTCTTCGCGCCAACATCGGCCAATGGGAATGGGGGAGCCGGTGGGGTGGGCGGAGCATCCGCGGCCGCGGCCAATGAAGACGCACACAGTCGCTTTTCGCGGGGCCCGGGCGCGCGCTCCGCCCCTCCCCCCTCAGGCCGGATCATTGCGCGCGCGCACACCGCCTGCTGGGACGATTCCCGTGCAGGTCACGTGACCGGTTTAGCCTTCACACGCTCACGCGCAGCCATTTTCTTCGGGGACCGTTATGCAAACGACTCCTTCAGGGTAGCGAAAGAAATTTGAAGTGTTTCTGGGTCTGGTTAGCAACTCCGAGGAGAAAAATGCATCAGCGTTTAGACTTACAGGTGCCTAGCTCAAGGTGTCTTTTAACTTACTCCCTTCGATTTTAGGAAGAACTAGTAGTAATAAGTGCAAAACGTAGGATACTTATTACTACCGATCTATTAAAACATGCTATGTAGAAGGCAGGACTTAGGCTGGAAGGGGCAAGAGGTGGTATCCTTCCGCCAGAGATACCCGAGAATAGAGTCCTGGTCCTTTTAGCCTGGCTGCCAAGGGGTGGGGTGTAGGGCGGAAGTTATGGCGCAGGTCCGAAGTCTAGCTGCTGAAGGGCGGAAGTAGAATCCCGAAGTCTTGCAATCATGGCTCCAGAAGAGGAAGATGTAAGAGATTACAATTTGACGGAGGAACAGAAGGCGATCAAGGACAAGTATCCTCCGGTCAATCGAAAGTACGAATGTGAGTAGGTGGCTCACATCTCTTGCGGAGGGCGACCTCAGCGGTTTACCTGCAGCTTCCTGTCTCGCCCATTCTTTGCTCCACAGGTGCTCCTGGTATAATCTCAAGTGTGCCCGCATTGTAGATCGTTTTGTACCTAATATAGGGGGACGGTGAAGAAAAATATGACTTTATTTGGGAAGAAGAAACCTGAGCCCCTGTTGTTTCTCCTTCTAGTCTCCAAAAGGTCCACGTATGGCTAAACCACATTTCCCTCTCTTCTCTGGGGATGTAGCTCAGTGGTATAGCACTTGCCCAACATTTATCTTTATAAATTATACTAGCGCTCGAATTGTATTTTGGAGCGTTTTCTGAGTTGTCCTCAAGTTTCTCCCAGTAGAATAGTGTGACCACGTTGGATGACTGGGAAAGTAGTCAAGAGACTTGTGCCTCTGCCTGCCTGTCTCCACAGCCCAAGGTCAGATATTATTATATACTTAATGAATATATTGCATCACGTTCAAAGATATTTGAAATAAGAAATACCACTCTAAACTTTGACACAATAAGTTATTTTTCACAGAAATGTGATTTATGTTCATTAAAATAGGGTTATTTTTGAATGAGTATTTTGAGATTGTTGGTTTTTTTTTTTTTCTTTCTTCGTTAAAGTCCTGTGTGAGCCTCCATAGCTTTAATTACAACACTCGGGCGGAAGAGGCAGGAAGATCTCTGAATTTGAGGCCAGCCTGGTCCACACAGTGAGTTCCAGGACAGCCATGGCTACAGAGTAAAACCCTGTCTCAGAAACAAACAAGACTCTTGTGTCTTTAATGGGCCTGCTAGACCAGTGCATGAGCTGGTCTACCACTGAGCTTTAGCACTAAAGTAATCTTTGAAGATAGGGTTTCTGAGATGAAAGAATCGGAGAACCACCCTGTGTAGCAATAGGTCATCTTTTTATAAAATTTTAAAGAATTGAGTATAACTAACATATACAGGAGTAACGTGTTAAGTGCTTTGCTTTTTGTGTGACAGGGTTTCAGCCTAACCCTCACTGGCCTGGATCTCACAAGGTGGACCAAACTTAAGATGATCCTCCTGTCTCCCCTTCCCTGATGCTGGTCACAGACTTGAGCAACCACACCTTGCCCGGATTATTATGGCTGCTAAACAGATATACCTGTTTAGCAGCTCACTTTGAGATAGGACAGTTCTGTCATCTTAGAACATTCCCTCGGTTCCTTTCCAGCCTCTTAGCCTTGAAGCCATTTCCTATTGTGTTTTCTAATCCTAGAATGTAATTTTCTATGTTAGTGGTTCATAGGAATGAACCCATGCTCTCTTCTTTTATGTTGGGGGCTTCTTCGCCCCCATCAAAGGTAGCACAGGCAGACCCAAATTGGAGTACAGTAACGCTGATGCTGACGCTGATGGTGAAAATGAGCTTCACTGTGTTCATAGCGACTGTTTTACAAGGAGGGTGAGGAGGGCAGGGCAAGGCTCCTAAGTCAGAAGTAACAAAGTACAATAGATTTAGTCATTATAATTGCTATAGTCAGTGAGCCAAGGCCAGCCAGTTCTATCTGTGCCCTGGCAGTTTGGGAAGTTTGAGTTCTAGCCTCCCACAGACCTGAGACAAGAGGCTGGGCTGGGCTAACATCTCAAAGAACAGGCCCTTGGAAAGATTCTTTGGAGCCAGAAAGGATACATATTAACAGTTTTTGGGCTTCTTTGGTACTTGCTGTAAAATAGAGAGATTAGGAGCCTTTTATCAAGTGTTGGCTAGAACAAAAAGGGAATTCTCCAACCTCTCTTAGGCTTTTCTCAGGCAAGCATTTTAACTAAGACTTGTGCTCTATCTGAGATGTGGCCTTCTGCTACTAGAAGCCATAATAGACTTTGGTCAAATGCGGGTGTTCTGATAAACCAGTTATATACTATTTGCGTTCTGCAGTTCCCAACAATAATTTGAGATTTATGTTAATGCTTATTTATTTACTTAATTTGTTATAGCAGAGATTGAATTCAGAGTAATTCTCTACTCCTCTACTAATCTCCATCCCTAACTCCCTTCCTTTTTTTTTTTTTTTTTTTTTTTTTTTGGTTTTTCGAGACAGGGTTTCTCTGTGGCTTTGGAGCCTGTCCTGGAACTAGCTCTGTAGACCAGGCTGGTCTCGAACCCACAGAGATCCACCTGCCTCTGCCTCCCGAGTGCTGGGATTAAAGGCGTGCGCCACCATTGCCCCGCCCAACTTCCCTCCTTTTAAACTTAACTTTCACTGGGGTCTGTGGTCTTTGGAAACATGACATTCTATGAACTTCATAATTGAGCTCAATACATATACCAGACTGGCCTCAAACTGATGACCTTCCTGCTGCACCCAACTTAGATGTTTTAGGATACCTATAAGAAGCTTGGTGGTGCATGCTTGTAATCCCAGCACTCCAGATGGAGGTTGAGGCAGGAGGATTAGACCAGCCGGGACTGCATTGGGAGACTCAGTGTCTAAAACCAAAGCAGAATGAGACAAAACACCTAGAAGACTCCTGCCTCGGTACTTTCCAGAATTTGCCATTCGTTTAAATATGAACCAAGTGGGTAGGCTACTTTGTTTATAAAATAATACTAGGAAAGTCTTAACCTTGAGTAATTATGTAATAAAAGGTCTAACTTCCTTGTGTTTTCCTACTTTTAAGAGTTTTTCTCTAATTTTTTGAAGATTTGTTTATGCTTCCTGTGTATGAGTGTTTTGAGGGATGTATATATGTGCACCACATACATGCCTATTACCCACCCCTGGAACTGGAGTTACAAGTGATTGGGAGCCCCATTCAGTGCTGCAGGTCCACATTTTCTTTTTTTTTTTTTTTGGTTTTTCGAGACAGGGTCCACATTTTCTTGAGCCAGCGAGTGCTCATGGATGAGCATCCATCCAGCACCATCTCTTGTTTGCTTTAGCTTCATGTGTGTGGTGTGTCAGTGTGTGTGTGCATGTTCAGGGATGTGTGGTGTGTCAGTGTGTATGTGCATGTGTGCATGTTCAGGGATGTGAGTGCACACGTGCATAGAAGTCAGGACAACCTTGGATGTCATTCCTTACTTTTCTGCTTTCCCTTTTTTTTTTCAAAGCAGGGTTTCTCTGTGGGTAGCCTTATCTGTCTTGGAACTAGTTGTGTAGACCAGGCTGGCCTTGAACTCACAGAGATTTGCCTGCCTCTGCCTCCCCAGTGCTGGGATTAAATGTGTGCACCACCACCACTCGGCATTTTCTGCCTTCTTTGAGACAGGGTCTCTTGGCCCAGGAATATCTAGATCAGTGGTTCTCAACCTTCCTGATGCTGCAACCCTTTAAAACAGTTCCTCTTATTGTGCTGACCCCAACCATAAGATGATTTTCATTGCTACTTCATAACTGTAATCTTGCTACCATTATGAATTATAATGTACATATGTGTGTTTTCTGATGGTTTTAGGTGACCCCTGAGAAAGGGTCATGACCCACAGGTTGAGAACCACTGATACAGTGATTCTTGTTTCCTCTTCCTGTTTCCTGTGAGCATACTAGGATAATCGATGCGTGTGCTGCTGTGTCTGACTTTAACATGGATTCTGGAGATCAGAACTCTTTCCATAGTGCCTTGCACAGCATGTGCTTTTACCTGATAAGCCATCTCTCCAGATAACACTTTATTTCTTTTGTGTATGAGGAGGGGGATGGTGAAGGATGCATGCGTGGGTCAAAGGACAATTTCCAGGAGTCAGTCTTCTCCTTCCACTAGGTGGTTCAGTACAGAAGTGCCTTTAGCCACTGACTGAGCCATTCCCTTGCCTTTTTTTTTTTTTTTTTTTTGATTTTTCGAGACAGGGTTTCTCCGTAGCTTTTGGTTCCTGTCCTGGAACTAGCTCTTGTAGACCAGGCTGACCTTGAACTCACAGAGATCCGCCTGCCTCTGCCTCCCGAGTGCTGGGATTAAAGGCGTGCGCCACCACCGCCCGGCGCCTTTTTTTTTTTAATATTTATTTGTTTTATGTATATTAGTGACCTGTCTTCATATACACCAGAAGGAATCAGATCCCATTACAGATGGTTGTTGGCCACTATGTGGTTGCTGGGAATTGAATTCATGTCCTCTGGAAAAGTAGCCAGTGTTCTTAACCGCTGAGCCATTTCTCTAGCCCCCTCTTTTTCTTTTTTTTAAAGATGCGGTGTTACTATGTACCAGGGCCACTTAAGTACTAGGATTACAGGTGTGAGCCTAATATCCCACTAGGATGATGTTCTTAATGAGTAGCAATAAGCTAGAGGTCCTTTTAACTGCTGCTTCTGCCTGCTGCCTGTTAATACTCTAGAGTAATGTCTGTATGTCTTGAGGATCAAGTTGAGTGGCTTACACATATTTTTCCCTTTCTCCCTCAGATTTGGACCATACAGCTGATGTCCAGTGAGTACAAGAGTTATTCCTGAAAACTGTGTCTTTAAATACAAGGATGAATGTTTTAGTTTTTTAATAAATTTTAATTACATTTACTTTTCCAAGATTTATTTTATTACCAGGCGGTGGTGGCACACACCTTAAATCCCAGCACTTGGAGGGCATAGGCAGGCAAATCTTTGTGAGTTTGAGGCCAGCCTGGTCTATAGAGTGAGTTCCAGGACAGGCTCCAAAGCTACAGGGAAACCCTGACTGAGTTTATTATCTTATGTGTGTGGATATTTTGCCTGAATGTATATATGTACCATATGTGTCCCTGGAGCCTGAGGAGATCAGAAGAGGTAATCAGATGGGACTGGAATTAAAGATGGTTGTGAGACACCATGTGGGTACTAGAACTGGAACCTGGGTCTTCTGCAAGAGCTAGAAATGCTCTTAGCCTAGCGGTGGTGGCGCACACCTTTAATCCCAGCGCTCGGGTGGCAGAGGCAGGCGGATCTCTGCGAGTTCGAGGCCAGCCTGGTCTACAAGAGCTAGTTCCAGGACAGGAATCAAAAGCTATGGAGAAACCCTGTCTCGAAAATTCAAAAAAAAAAAAAAGAAAAGAAAAGAAAGAAATGCTCTCAACCACTAAGCCAACTCTCCACTTTTATCTTTTCTTTCTTTTTTTGAAGATTTGTATTTATTATGTATATAGTGTTCTGCTGCATGTGTTCCTGCAGGCTAGAAGATGGCACCCGGATCTTAATACAGATGGTTGTGAGCCACCATGTGGTTGCTGGGGAATTGAACTTAGGACCTCTAGAAGGGCAGTCAGTGCTCTTAACCACGGAACTATCTCTCCAGCCCCGTATCTTTTCTTTTCTTTTTTTTTTCTTTCTTTCTTTTTTTTTTTTTTTTTTTTTTAAATATTTATTTATTTATTAAGCCTGCAGGCCAGAAGAGGGCACCAGATCTCATTACAGATGGTTGTGAGCCACCATGTGGTTGCTGGGAATTGAACTCAGGACCTTCGGAAGAGCAGACAATGCTCTTAACCACTGAGCCATCTCGCCAGCCCTCTTTTTTTTTTTTTTTTTTTTTTTTTTTTTTGGTTTTTCCGAGACAGGGTTTCTCCATAGCTTCGGTGCCTGTCCTGGAACTAGCTCTCGTAGACCAGGCTGGCCTTGAACTCAAAGAGATCCTCCTGCCTCTGCCTCCCGAGTGCTGGAATTAAAGGCACGTGCCACCACCCCCTGGCCTATCTTTTCTTTTTTAAGATAGGGTCTCACTGCACAGCCCTTGCTAGCCTGGAATTTGTTATATAAATACACAGATAAGGCTGACCTTAAACTCAGAGATCCACCTTCCTCTGCCTCCTGAGTGTTGGGATGAAAGGCGTGCCCAACCATGTAATTACATATTTATTAATTTTGTGTTGTGTGAGAGAGAGAGACGCATCTGTGTGGAGAAAACATGAGTGCTACAGTTAATGTGTGGAGGTCAGAAGGCAAATTGGAGGAGTCAGGCTTGGTGGCAAGCACTCTTAGCTGCTGAGCAAACTCCCTGGCCCAAGTGTACCTCTTTCTCCTTTTGTTTTGTTTTGCTCTAATTGTAAAATGATGGTCTAAAAGCATCCAATCTTGATGCCTTTAAATTAGACATCTAGTTTTATACTTAATAAGTTGATTTCTTTTGATTTTGTTGTGGAATTTTCTCTCTTGTATAGATTATAAACACTGTGGCTCCTTTTATTTTTGTCTTAATTTTAATTTTTTTTTTTAGGTTACATGCATGGGGAGATACCCTGGAGGAAGCATTTGAACAGTGTGCCATGGCTATGTTTGGTTACATGACAGACACTGGCACTGTGGAACCCCTCCAAACAGTAGAAGTAGAAACCCAAGGTAACTGATATATTCTCAAGGGAAAATTACTATATGGGTGTGCAATGTCTGCATGATCTGAATATATTGTCACAGTAAGAACAATAGGATGGATTATGAATCTTTAAATGAGCCAGAGAACTTCATTGTACTTTAACCAAACTCCTGGAGAGCAGTCACTAAACTGTCATGGTCCCTTGTCCCTGTGTAGGAGATGACTTGCAGTCTCTGCTGTTTCACTTTTTGGATGAGTGGCTTTACAAGTTCAGTGCTGATGAATACTTCATACCCCGGGTAAGCACAGGGTTTGGTTTCCTTGTTTGTTGAGCAAGTAGGTTCTTTGTTCATATTGTAAAATTGAGCAAATAGTTGAAAATAAGGTATATGAACCAAATACCAGTCCATGTAGACTTGTGAGGTAATGTTGATTTGTACAAATTATGGGTCTTTTTTTTTTTAAGATGTGGGTTTTGTTGTTGTTGTTTTTAAAAGATTTATTTATTTATTTACTTAATGTACACTGTACTTAATGTTTCGCCTGCATATACTCTGTGTGAGGGTGTCAGATCCCCTAGAACTATAATTATAGACAGCTGTAAGCTGCCATGTGGGTGCTGGGAATTGAACCCAGGTCCTCTGGAAGAGCAGTCAGCGCTCGTAAACCACTGAGCCATCTCTCCAGCCCCAGGTGTTGTTGTTTTTTAAGACAGGGTTTCTCTGTAGCTTTGAAGCCTATTTTGGAACTCTCTCTGTAGACCAGGCTGGCCTTATACTCACAGAGATCCACCTGTCTCTGCCTCTTGAGTGCTAGGATTAAAGGCGTGTGCCATTGCCACCTGGCTTGATTTTAGATTTCTTAATGGGAAAATAAAGGAAAAGGCAAATGCAAAATGCTTGCTGCAGTCCGCCTCTGGGACACCTGTCCAGCATCTGACACACGGCCCTTGTGTTTTTAGAAGTCCGTCTGTCCCTGGTTTATCCGCTCCTCACACAAAGTTGAAGAGGGCAGTGTTGTTACAGACGGACTGACCACAATTAGAACTGTGCATCTCCTCTAAAGAGATCTTCTCTTAACTTTTCCCTTGTTGGTGCTGGGATTTGAGGTTGCACATCCCAAACCCTGTGATCTACCACAGCTATTCCTGCAGCAGCCCCTTGACTCTTTTACATGTGGAACCATGAGACAGGGTTTCGTGTATCTTAGACTGGCCTCCTCTTCACTTTGTGGTGAAGCATTGCTTTCAACTCCTGGTCCTTCTGTTTATCTCCTGCGTGCTTCGGGCATGTGGCAGCACACCTGGCTTTCACTGCTGGATTTAGAATATCTACTTCTCTTGGATACTTCCCTTGAATAAATAATAGAAGACCATGTTTTCTTGTGCTTTACTTGACATTTTAATTTTCTTTGTTTCAGAGAAGTATGATACTGTGTTCTAGAAAATGTGATAAGCTAGAGGTATATTAGTAAATGTCCCAATATGAATTTGGTTTGTTTTTGAGACAGGGTCTTTATTCCTTATCCCAAGTGGCCCTGGCCTCAGGCCCCTCGCCTGAGTTCAAGAACTCAGGTTATAAGCATTTGCCAAGTATATAAGCATTATATACTTGCCTGACTCTTCTTTTTTTAAGTAATGATTTTCTGGGCTGGGGTTGTAGCTCAGTTGGAAGAATACTTACTTAGCATTCCCAAAACCCTGGTTTTAATTTCTGGTTCTTCATAAAAGCCACCATGGTGGCACATGCTTATGATTCCACCATTGTGGAGATGAAGGCAGAAGGGTCTGGAATGCATGGTTATCTTTGGCTATATTTTGAGGCTCACTTGACTAAATGTATGACCTTATCTAAAAAATAATTTTAAAATAAAGTTAATTAACTAGTTAATAATTAAAATGTTAATTTTTTTCCTCTTTAGGAAGTGAAAGTACTCAATATTGATCAAAAAAATTTCAAGTTACGGTCAATTGGGTAAGTTCTGAAACTAGTTATGTAGCAAGTTATGAAAGAAGTTAAAATATAGTCTCCATTGATTCCAGTGGGCAAAACAACAAATATAAGTGGTGAGTCAGGAGAATTGCACCTTGCTAGGCCTGGAGGTTGAGCTGAGGGAAACCCCCAGGAGTGTGAGCTCACCTGAATGGTAGAGACTCGGGAACCTGTGGAAAGAAAGTTCTTTCTGATTCCTAAGCTCGACTTCCAATTTTAGGTGTTTTATTTTGTATGTGTGGGTGTTTACCTGCATGCATGTTTGTTCACCACATGTGTGCCTAGTGCCTGCAGAAGACAGAAGAGAATGTCATATCCCCTGGAGCTGGAGTTAGACAGTTGTAAGCTGCTGTGTGAGCGCTGAGAACTGAACCTGGGTTCTCTGGAAGGGCAGCCAGTGTCCTTAGCCACTGAGCATCTCCAGCCCTCAAGATGATCCTTGCAATTGCTGTGTGGTTTTTCAAGATAGCATAGCCCTGGCTGTCTTAGCACTCACTCCGTAGACCAGGCTGCCCCTAAACTCAGGGCTCTGCCTGCCTCCACCTCCCAGCTATGATTAAATGTGTGCCACCATGCTCAGCTTGATCCCTATTTCGTTAGCAACATCTAAAACATAATTAGAGCCCATGGATCATGTACTTTGTTCTCCATTAGACCTGTGCATCTTACTCATCCGATCCTGCCATCTCTTCTGCTTCTCCAGTTTGGGACTACATTTATAACGCTTACTTTAAAATGTAGAGAATAAAATAAAAAATAGAAAATTGTAGAAATAATAACCATGTTTTTAACTTTCGTTCTCAAGGTGGGGAGAAGAATTTTCACTGTCCAAGCACCCTCAGGTATGGTATATTTAGGAGTCTAGCCCTTGAAAGCATTTCGTGCTCTCTTATGTAGAATTTGCGAATGCCAAAGTAAACTCAGTTTTAATTGGTGTGAAGTGGCAGGTTTGTGCAAACGTCTCTTACCCAGCATGCATGAGTCATGCATCTGTTTGGTCAGTTAGCAGTCAGCATTGGGCTCAAGGGTCAAGTTTGTTACAGATTGTGAAGAATTTTAAAGTCTGGTTCTTTTCTTTGTTTGGGTGGACTTTTTGCTTATTTTTGAAACAGAATCTCTTCACCTCTTAACCTCTGTCTGTCTTTCACTAGACTCGAACTCACTATGTAGACCAGAGATCTCCTTGTCTCTTCCTGCCTCTGGAGGACTGAGATTACAGGCACGGGCCACCAGAGGCTTGGTCTCCTCCTCAATGAAGATGCTGGGAGAAATGCTCTCTCTCTGGGAACTGGATGTAGGGCTTGTGAATGCTGCACAAATGCTCCTCTGCTGAGCTATATCTCGGCCCTCTTTTTACCTTTCCTTTTTTCAAAGATTTTTTTTTTATTATGTATACAGTGTTCTGTTTGCATATATTCTTGCATGCCAAAAGAGGGCATCAGATCTCATTATAGATGGTTGTGAGCCAACATGGGTTGCTAAGAATTGAACTCAGGACCTCTGGAAAAGCTGCCAGTGCTTTTAACCTCTAATCCATCTCTTCAACCTCCCTCTTTTTACTTTTAAAAAATGCATTTGGAAATCCATGTGTAGTAGTGCACACCTTTGATTCCAACACTCGGGAGGAAGAGACGGGAAAAATCTCTGTGAGTTCGAGGCCAGCCTGGTCTACATAGGAAGTTCCAGGACAGCCAAAATCACAAGGAGACCCTGTCTCAAACAAATAAACAAATTCATTTGGAAATGACTGCAGAAAAGGGGACAAACTAGTAACATAGTTAGCTGAGGACTATGGTCAATAAAGAAGCGAAGTTTTATTTTATCCGGTTTTATTTAGCTAGGAGGTTTTGTAGCAGGTTTATATGCAAAGCGTAAATGAGTAAGGAGGGAGAGATACACTGGAGAGGGAGAGGATGTAGAACGTTGTTAAGTGGTGGTGTGGAATCGGTTCATAGGTGTAGAGTTGGCCTTCTGATAGGCCTGGAACAGGCCATTCATTACTGCAGGAACAGTAGATAGAGGACAGAGTGGGTGGTGGATATATGAGTTATTCCTTACTGACCTTCTTTAAGAAGCGTTGTTGGTTGAGAGTGAGAATGGAGAGGAGATGCCTGGGGAGAACCTGTGAAGTGTCCCTGCGGGGAGAAAAGCTGCCTGTGTAGATAACTGGTCAGTAAACAGCCACTTGAGATATGCATGTATGTGTATCTGAAGGCAATGCCGTCAGAAACACTGAGTGCCTCCGGTGGAAAAAGAATTTGACGTAGGTGATGGTAGAGGGAAACCACAAATGGCGCCACTTACCTCCTGTGGCGTCTTCACATCTCACATGTCTGCATTAGAGCTAGCAGGTGCCCTCACCTGTTACATGGCACATTATTATTACAGATTCTTTATAAGTTGGAAGAAACGTAAGAGGACATCTAATCCTTTTGTTCTAAACTGGGACAGGGTGTGGGCTACTGTCATGTATCAGAATCCTGGGAGAGCTCTGACCTGTGTCATTCTCTGTCACTTTCCAGCCAGACCTGCAAGGAAAAGAATCCGTAAGGAGTGGGTAGGGACAAGGGGAGTCCTGGGCTAGTGTAGAAAAGCTTGTGTTGTTTGGTCTGTCTTATTTTATAAATAAAAAAACAGACCTCCCCGACTAGCCAGCTGGTGCCTGCATCAGCGCTGGCTCCTCCAAGTCTCATGGCTCTTTCCGCTGTGCTCCGCTCTTCATTTTCTCATGCCAGCCACCCTCTGTACTAACTTGATAGCCACCAGTTTCCCGAGTCAGAATTGCAGTTGGACTCTCTGCCAATTCCTACCAAAGATTCTAAATCCAGTTTCTTTCTTTTTCCTTTAACTCCAACTTCAGGGAACAGAAGTCAAAGCAATAACATACTCGGCGATGCAAGTCTACAATGAAGAGAAACCTGAAGTGTTTGTGATCATCGACATTTAAGATACCAAAGAAAGGAAGAAAAGAAGAAAGAAAGAAAGAAAGAAAGAAAGACAGACAGACAGACTCTTAGGAAGAACTGACTTGTTGTCTTTTAACAAAATGCAACGATTTATTTTCTATAGTGTCTTTGCTAAATGGAATTAGAGAACTGGGAATTTACAGTGTGACTTCCGAAATGGAAAACCAGTGTGTAGCCTTGGTCTATGAGTCCTAGGTAATGAATTCTTCGATTTTTGAGGAACAGTCTTGTACTTGGTCGTTTGTAGAAGTAGCCTTTCACCTGCGGTGGAATGCAAGCGCTCCAGCATGGGTCTGCATCCAATTCCAAACAAAATAATTTGATCCAGGTATGACAGACATTCTATGCCTGTGATCACAACACTCAGGATCCTGAGCTTGAGGCCAGCATTGGCTGTAGAATTAGTTTAAGGCTAGCCAGGGCAACTTAACATTGCTCTGTTTCAAAAAAGGAAAGTGTAGGGCAGGGAGAGCATACACCATGAGGTTGTGTTTTTTTAGGTTGCTAAGGGACAGGGCCATCCTGTATTCTGGCTGGTTCTGAGTGGAACCCTCTGGAAAATGGACTAGAGGTGTCCTGGTTTGTTTGTTTGTTTTTGGGTGTTGTTTGTTTACTTGTTTGGCAGGTTCTCTGTGTTACACCTCTTAGCTCTCCTGGCCTTGAACTTGCAGAGATCCACCTGCTTCTGCCTACCAAGTGCTGGGATTAAAGGCGTGCACCACCATCACCAGGCTCTGATAACAATGATACTTCGTATTTTTTCTTTTCTTTTTTTTTTTAAGATTTTTATTTTTTTTTATATTTATTTATTATGTATACAATATTCTGTCTGTATGTATGCCTGAAGGCCAGAAGAGGGCACCAGACTCCATTACAGATGGTTGTGAGCCACCATGTGGTTGCTGGGAATTGAACTCAGGACCTTTGGAAGAGCAGGCTCTTAACCTCTGAGCCATCTCTCCAGCCCCCAAGATTTTTATTTATTTATTATGTATACAACATTCTGCCTCCATGTAAGCCCACAAGCCAGAGGAGGGCGCCAGACCTCATCACAGATGGTTGTGAGCCACCATGTGGTTGCTGGGAATTGAACTCAGGACCTTTGGAAGAGCAGCCAGTGCTCTTAACCACTGAGCCATCTCTCCAGCCCCCTTTTTCTTTAAAAAAAAAAAAAAAATTATGGTTTATTTAACTTTATTTTATGTGCATTGGTGTGAAGGTGTCAGATCCCCTGCAATTAGATTTTAAGACAGTTGTGAGTTGCCATGTGGGTTTATGTGGGAATTGAACCCCAGTCCTCTGAAAGAGCAGTCAGTGCTCTTAACCACTGAGCCATCTCTCCAGCCCCAACTTCATATTTTCTTAGAAATATCTGATACTGTACCTTACATAGACCCTTAGACATATAATTTTATTTATTACTTCTTTTCACAGTGTTGGGGATGAAGCCCCATCACAGTAACCAAGGGCTTTACCACTGAATTTATAGTTCAGCCCTAAAGTGAAATTTTATTTATGTTTACTTATTTATTGTTTTTTTTTTTTTTTTCCCAGACAGGGTTTCTTTGTGTATCCCTAGGTAACCTGGAACTCACTCTATAGACCAGGCTGGCCTAGAACTAAGAGATCCTCCTGCTTTTTGCCTCCAGAGTGCTGGAATTAAACTCATACACCACTACCACTGACTTTCTGTTACTTTTTTTTTTTTTTTTTTGAAGACCAGGTGTTGCTATATAAACCAGGTTGGTCTTGAGCTCATAGTGCCTGCCTCTGCCTACTAAGTACTGGGATTAAAGGTGTACCCCAATAGATTATAATTTTATTAAAACCAGTCTGTGCATCCAATTAGAGAAGAAAAATGTTTTTGGTTTTCTTTTAATGGCTCAGACATGGTGGTACATACTTTAAATCTCAGCAGAAACAGATGTATCTGAGAATCTGAGGCTAGCCTGGTCTACATAGTGAGTTCCAGGATGGTCAGCTCTAGAGAGAGACCCTATCTCAAAAACCAAATTAAAAAATGCTCTGGGTTTGATTTGAAGCTTTAGTTTCTCTTGAGGGATCTTCTCGGGATCAAATATGCAAAGCTGGCCTTGTTCACAAGACTCTGAGGGTTCCACGGGGCGGGGCCAGATTTCATCGCAGTCTCCAGAGGCTGCATTATTTTCTCTGGTTAGCTAATACAGATAGTAATATTAGTGAAGATGAGGCCAAGAAAAGCAGCTCCGAAAATGATTGTAACGTGATGACTGAGGATATTGCTTTTTTGTTTGTTTGTTTGTTTGTTTTTGCTTATTTTTGTTTTTCTAGACAGTTTCTTTGTGAAACAGCCATATCTGGCCTGGAACTTACTCTGTAGATCAGACTGGCCTCAAACACTCAAGAGATCACCTGCCTCTGCCTCCTAAGTGCTAAGATTAAAGGCATGTGCCACCACCATACCCAGTGGGTATTGCTTCTTACTGCCTTAGGCAAGTTTGGTCAATTTTCACCTAATTGGCAAGGAAATAATTTCATGGTTGGGGTCACCACCTTTAATACAGTTCCTCTTGTGGAACCCCATGAAATTATTTCCTTGCCTGTTGTGAATCCTAATGTAAACATTTTTGGAGATAAAGGTTTACCGAAGGGCTTGAGACTCACAGGTTGAGAACCACTGCTCCAGCAGGTGCTCTTCCTGATAGCAGTATGTACTTCCTGATTTGATCTTATTATTCTTTATGTGTGTGGTACATGTATATGGTGTGGAGACCAGGGTAGGATATCCACAGTCTTCCTCAGCTGTTCTCTGATGAGCCACGCTGTCTCAGTGAGCTGCAGGCACAGCATTCTGTCATGGCTCACTAACCTGATAGCTCTCAGCACCACCTGTACTCACCCACACACATGCTTGGCTTTTACATAGGCTCTAGGAATTCAAACTCAGGTCCTCATGCTTGCAGAGCAATTATACTTACTGTGCCATACATAGTGTGTGTGTGTAGTGTGTGTACAAGTGTGTAAATGCATATATGTGCAGGTGCCTGTGTAAGCCAGCTGTCTCCTCTATCACTCTCTGCCTTAGTTCTTGAGACAGGGCTTCTTTAAGTGAACCTGGAACTCACTCCTAGGATCTGCTCATTCCCAGTCAACACGGGTTATAGATGGCACTAGCCATGTCTGGATTTTCACATGGGTTAAAGACCAAATTCAAGTCCTTATGCCTTCATGAACAAGCACTTTTTCTACTGAACCATCCCCATCCTCTCTACTTAATTCCCCCCAACAATATTAGCTGATAAAAGTAATTTTTAGCAAGATTTATTTTTATATGCATGGGTTTTTCTGCATACATGTATGCCTGCGTACCACATGCAGTGCCCCGCAATACCAGATGAAGATTTGGGGTCCTCTGAGCTGGAGTTACCAATCCAGCTTCTCTGAAAGAGCAGCCAGTGCTCTTGTGGTGAGCTCTTTCCAGCCACTCAAGAGTATTATTTATTGGCTTTCTTTCTTTTTTTTTTTTTAAATTTATTTATTGGCTTTTCAAGATAGGGTTTCTCTGTGTTGTCCTGGAACTCCGTAGAAGTGGCTGACCAAGAACTCAGAGATTCACCTGCCTCTGCCTCCTGAGTGCTGGGATTAAAGGTGTGCCCAGTGAGTAATATTAATTTTATGACAAAAAAAATTCAACTATGAGCCAGGTGGTGGTGGCACATGCCTTTAATCCCAGCACTTGGGAAGCAGAGGCAGGTAGGTGGATCTCTGTGAGTTTGAGGCCAGCCTGGTCTACAGAGCTAGTGCCAGGACAGCCTCCAAAGCTACACAGAGAAACTCTGTCTCAAAAAACAAAACAAGGGCTGGAGAGATGGCTCAGTGGTTAAGAGCATTGCCTGTTCTTCCAAAGGTCCTGAGTTCAATTCCCAGCAACCACATGGTGGCTCACAACCATCTGAAATGGGGTCTGGTGCCCTCTTCTGGCCTGCAAACATACACACAGACAGAACACTGCATACATAATAAATAAATAAATAAATAAATAAATATAAGAAAAGAATTTATTTAAAAAAAAAAAAAAAAACAAGCCGGGCGGTGGTGGCGCACGCCTTTAATCCCAGCACTCGGGAGGCAGAGGCAGGTGGATCTCTGTGAGTTCAAGACCAGCCTGGTCTACAAGAGCTAGTTCCAGGACAGGCTCCAAAACCACAGAGAAACCCTGTCTCGAAAAACCAAAAAAAAAAAAAAAAAAAAAAAAAAAAAACCCAACAACAACAAAAAGAACTCACTAGCTCAGAAAAAAAAAATTATGTTTTACCTGTATGTATGTCAGTATACCACTTGAGTACCTGGTGCCCATGGAGGTCAGAAGTAGATGCCAGATCCCCTGGACCTGGAGTTACAGATGTTTGTGACCTGCCATGCTAGGAATTGAACATGTGTCCTCTGAAGAGCTAGTGCTCTTAACTGCTTGGCCATCTCTCCAAGCCCCAAGACTTGAAGTTTTGGTTTTTTTTTTTTTGGTTTTTTTTTTTTTTTGGTTTTTCGAGACAGGGTTTCTCTGTGGTTTTGGAGCCTGTTCTGGAACTAGCTCTTGTAGACCAGGCTGGTCTCGAACTCACAGAGATCTGCCTGCCTCTGCCTCCCAAGTGCTGGGATTAAAGGCATGCGCCACCACCGCCCGGCAGACTTGAAGTTTTTAATAAATTTCCTGTTGGGTAGCCAGACTCCCAAATTCAGTCTTATTTGGTTCCTTATGAGATTCAGGTTTAAAATGCATTAACATTTTGCAGGCGGGTTTATTGGCGGGTGAGGGTGAGGGGCCCTGCCACCAAGCCTGATGACTGGAATTCCATCCTACATGGTAGGAGAGAACCAACTCCTACAAATTCTCTTTCGGCTCCCATACATGTCCTACACCTACCCGCCTCCTCCCCCAAACAGAAAAATGTGATAGAAGATTGTCTTAAAGTGTTGTGATAGATTTATTTAAAATATTTACTTAAAAAAGTTTGCTAAATAGATTTTTC